CATGGGGCCTGCACCCAGTGAGATGGCAGGAGTGCGGAGCCCAGGTTGGCAGGAGTGTGGGGCCAGCTTAGTTCCATTGCACAGGGCTCTTTGCCGCCATGTGCATCTCCTGGGACTCAGCTGAGAGTGGTGGGGAGCCCTGCACAACGGAGCTGGGCTGGCTTGGCCCCACTCCTTGCCATTCTGGTGGAGTCTCAGGAGCTGCTTGTGGAAGCAGGGAGTAGGGCCATGCTGTTGGCTCCATCACGTGGGGTTCCCCCCTGAGTGGCATGCGGCTCTGGCCAAGTCCCAGAAACTGCACATGATCTGTGGAGAGCCCCATGTGATGAAGCCAGGCCAACCTGGTCCCACTCCCTATTGACACATGCAGCTCCCAGGACTCAGCTGGGGTGGCGTGCCGCCAGGGGGCTCCGCCTGTGCAGGCCATGAGCACCCCACATGCACAGCCCACCATACCTATACCCCTACACATGCCCCCCCCCCACAAACACACTCGCAGCCTCTCCCATACACACCCTGCCCCACACCCCCACCTCACAAACACACCTGCAACTCCACACCCCACACACCTTCTCATATACCCCACACCCCACCACACCCCACCCTAAACACACCCCACACATTCCCCTGCACATACTCCACACACAATACACAAGAGTAAGATTTAATTTTTGAGATACTATGTAATTACCTCTATACTACACAAACATATATAGAGCAGGACAAAACTAATTTTTTTAATAAAATTAAAATATGTTATAGTAGATGTTTGATTTTTAGTATATGATTTGGCAACCTCCCCTCCCCACCCCCAAAAAGAGTACTTCTGGGGCAAGGGGAGGGACTTCCAGTGGCAAAGGCCAAGGGTTAGGGGTCCCAAGATAGCAACCAGGGGGTGGGGCACCTGTCAAGGGGTGGAGCTACCCTTGTGGCCCTTGATAGTGCACCAAAACTCATTGAGAGGCCCTCCAGCTGAAATAATTGCCCACCCCTGATCTGAAAGCATACCTTATATGGCTAAAAATTGCTTCTGCAATTCTTGTTTTTGCTTACTCTGCCTTGCTTCCTGCCTAAACTAAATTAGTTAGAGCCCAATTTAGCTTGGCACAAATGAATTACCCACAGATTTACAGTTAAGTATATGTTAAAGTGGTGTGCTAAACTGGCCTGGATTAACATACATGCTTAAAGTTAAACACATGCTGAGTTCCTGTGCTGAATCAAAGTCCTTAAGAACAAAAGCAGTATAGTTTCTTTTATTATAATAATGTAAAAATGTCATTGCTTCCCAATTTAAAGAGTAAGATCATTCTGTCATTCACTTTCTTTATTGAATTTAAAGCAGCTGCTATAATTCAATATTTATTTAGTGTATATCTTATTCCAATACAAGCAATGATAATTACTGTCTGTGTCTGATACTATGACACTAAACTGTGTCAATTTTTATCTTGCCTCAAGATTTTAGACTTCTCTTTTTAAAGCAAATGTTATGAATTGTTCATATTTTTTTAGATCTCAAGCTGACAGTATTCATTTAGACATTGGTGAAATATCCTTTATAAATATTGGTGAAATATCCTGTATTAATATTGTTAAAATAAAGGTATATTTTATATTTTTACTAGAAAGTAAAATTCTCATTGGGTAACATAACATGAAGTTTAGATTCAGTGCTTTGAGGGTGTCATAAATCTTAGTACAAAGAGAATAATTCTCTCTTTGCTTTTCCAGTGCATAAACAGGTGTAATTTGGTAGCACTCTGTAAAAATCAATGGAGGACATTGATTTATAGTAACTGGGTATTTGGCTTAAATGTGTTTTGGCTGCCTGTATCCCACAGGAAATGAAGCTAAAATTAATTACTAGGCATTGCTAGGGTGGGGTGGCTGGGGGAGCTGCCCTGGGTGCCAGCTTTGGGGGTGGGAAAAAAACAGCTGCTGCAGCTGTATAATCACACCACAGCTGGAAGTTGTGTGTGCAGCAGCTGGCCTGAGCATCCAGTCACATCCTTACGCCTCTCTGCCTGAATGAAACAGGTGGTAAGTTCAGCTTCCACTTAACGTACAGAGAGAGAACCGTTTTAGTGGATTCTGCTGAACTGTGTGTGGTGTGTCTTCTGCCCTCCTGCTTCAGTTTATGTAATGATTTAATCTATCCATTCCCTGAGAGGTGACCAGATAATGGTGTTTATTTTCATACAGAGAACATATCTGATACTA